TCAACTCGAAACTTAACAAGATTGTACTGTTTGACAAGCGACTGTACCTCAGGCCATTTCCAATAAGCACATGATTTCGGCAGCTCAAAGGCGAGATACGGTTTGTAATCCGCAAGCCGCAGCATAAGGCGTTTGAGCGATTTCAGCAGTTTGCGGAACATCCGCTTCCTCTCCCTAACCTTTTCATTGGAACCCTTGGCTTCGTTGACGTACTGCCAACTTGACCCCCCCGTGCACGGCAGCGCCGCGTAAACAAGCACTTTAGCGCGCGGGTTGTCCCTAACTACCGACTTCAGCTCCCCCCAGACCATGTCAGCACATGCTTTGGAGTTAGCATCGATACGTTCATGGACTCTGATGACCGTACAGCCTTGACTAGCTCTAGCGGCACCCTGAAGAAGGCCGTAACGCCCCTGAAAAGGTCTGGAGGCAGGGTCTGTGGAGGTGTTGGTCCGGCGGCCGGCCCTGGCAAGCCAGGCCCTAGGTCTTGGCAGGCCTGGCAGAGGCCTTGGCAGGCTATGCAGGCTCTGCTCTGGCAGGCCCTGGCAGGCATGGCTGTCTTGCCCGCAACAAAACTCAATCATGACTCTGTCAACGGTTTCGCCCTTTGACGGACACGCCGTCACGGGAGCATCCTTGGTACCGTCACTAGCCAAGCTTTGCAGAAGTTTTCGGGCGACTTTACTAGTCCTCCTTGAGTCCCCGCCATGTTCTTCCTGCGCCCCGACGTTCACATGTGAATGCTTCCCGTCGCGCATTTTGGACAGCGCGCTCAAGTCAACCCCCCATGTCAGCATATTCCACTTGGACTTGACATAGGCGATTTGCGACGACATATTCACACGATGCCCAAAGCAGCATCCGTCGAACACTGTCCTTTTGGCCCCGCTGCTGTTCACCATCGTCTTGCGCTGTTCGGAGCTATGAATTCTATCATGACCAGGCAACTCGAACACAACACGAATACCACGCTTGGCAATCTTGGCTGCCATGAGGCCCAAGTCCCCGTAGGGGTACTCAGGCGACTCACATCGGGGTTCGTCTTGCGCTCTTGGATGTTTGTCCAGCCATGAAGAGACTCCGACTGTGCCAGAGCCAACATATACGAGGTCATCTGCTTTGGATATGCATTTCTCGATTACTCGCTCATAGTATCCCGAGGCGGGCCCGGACAACTTAGATCCCGAGCACACGATTTGAACCTCGTCTGGCACGAACTCGTTCCACCAGTTTTCTTCATCAACTCCTGCTAGAACCCATAACGGTTTGGCCAGGTCAGCCCCCCAGATGGTTATCTCAGCGGCGAATTCTGGATCTAGCGAGGTGCTAAGCTCGCCGCCTTGAGCATCATCAAGGAATTTGGCCGACTCGTAGGTGTATAGCACTTCACCTTTGGCATTGCAGAACTTGATGACGGGAGGCTTGCGAGTTGGTTTCACTTGCACATTGGCAGGAACATAAGGCACATCGCCAATCAGGTTACATTTTCCTCTCTTTCGGTCAACATCGACACGGGTAGCCAAGCTTTGACAGAGACAGCTCCAAAACCATGGGATATGCATGTCCACATTACGTTCGAAAATGTCATAAATCTGTCCCACACTCCCCCCATGGATGGCGCGCGCGAGCGCGGCAACCACCCTTTGTAGGGACACGCCGCAACGGTGAACAGGAAGTACACCGACATGCGACGCGGGCACCGTAGGTGACACCGCCGCCGGAGAAGAAGAAAGACTGGCGCGCTGGAAGTGGTACTGAAACACAGCACGTTCCACATACCGATCAAACTGTTGGCGATGTTCAGGAATATCGACATGATCCTCCAAGCGCGCCCACTTGCCTTCACGCAACACCCATGTGGACCGTAGATAACGACCAGGCGGTATAGCGGCCGGCGGCGGACGTAACGCGCGGGGGAACTTGACGACAACGATGGGATCACACCCATCGAGTTCCTGTAGGCCTTCCTTGCTGGAAAGGCCCGCCCGATGAAGTTCTTCAGGCAATATCGGGGTTTCAGTGTAGGGGAAGCACGGGGTCTGATTCCGGTAGTTGTGTACACGTTGGCTCTTACCTTTAGCGTCCGCAACCTGGTCATGCGTAGGCTTCATCATATCCATGATGTCGACCGAGTTAAGCTGCTCAGGAGGGAAAATGTTGATAAGCTGACACGCGTGCGCCCACGATATGCCATCTTTGAACGCCTTCGTGTGTATGTCGGCCGCCATCTTCGCGGTGACCTCATATGCCAGACCAACATAACCCTCCTGGAACATCTCATGCATCCACGCAATGCGGATACCATGAGAACGCTCAAGGTGACGCATGGTCGGATTCCTACCCGTGCGTACGACGCCAATCATGGTTTGGTTGTCGTCATAAAACACAAAATTAGGATCTCCCGCGGACAACAGTTTCCAAAGTGTAATAGCCGGTAGGCCGATCCGAGACATAGCGTAGTCAGCAGCGACGATCTCAGCCTCTGGAGTGGAGTGGCTGACGCATCCTTGACGTTTACTAATCCCGGCCAGGGGAAAACGGGTGTGACTCCCCTGTATGTGCATGTGTGCACCCGAGGTGGACCGGAGGCTCTCGCCACAACCAGCATAGTCAGCATCCGCAAACAACCCAATGGAAAGATCCTTAAGACTGTTGCCTACCCACCCAATCATCTTATGATGCTTGGTGTGATGGACGTAGCTGATTAAGTGGAGAAGCCCGGCATCCTCTTTAACGGACCACTTGGTGATCTTGCGAGCAAGATTATTGATGGATCGAAGCAAATCGAAGCGGCGTATGCGCGCAGCATAGAGTAGCTTCATCAATATGCTTGCAGCATGAGGGGCCAATGCCCCGCGATTCATGTCCGTGACTT